ATGAAAAAAAAAAACACACACACACACACAAGCATGTTAAAATACCAAAATTACAGTAATGAACTTTATATATCAACAAATTACACTTTATAAAACAACACGTTGCAGTATCACGACTGTCATATCACACAAATAGCGAACAAAATCGACTGAGGTCAAAAATTTTTTAAACCAAAAATAATTTAAAAATAATAAATAAAATTATTAACTTATTAATAATTTAAACGTAAATAACAAAAGATTTCTCCAACAATGTGTAAATAATTATATAATTACGTAAATGTGTAAATGATAACAATTAAAACATTTATGTAATTACGTAATAATATAACAATGTTTTTAATATGCATATTCTCATGTGTAATATTGTGTATTTTATGTTGTAATCAATTTTACCAATTACATGTGCAAATAAATCCCCTATATTTTTCTAATTTCCAAAAATTGAACCACATATCTATATCTATCAATATTTATATAATGGATCAATCATTATTATCATAATTGAAATGGCTTTGGACGACAAATTTTTTTGTCTATATTTAGCATTTAATAAATATTTATTTATTAGCAAATCTTATAGAAGAAAAACCTAATTAATTTTTATGCACTCAGTGAGACGGTGACTAATATTCATTAACTGCAAATTGAATTAATTTGAAAACTTGACCGTAAATTTATTGGATATATTTTCAATAAGATCTTATTTTAGTTTTAATTTAATAGTAATTTATTGACACAGTTCAAAAAAATATTATAGAAATTGATTTGATTAAATATATTATTATCTATGGTTGTAGATACTAATTTAATTAATTTTATTTACTATTCGGAAGTACTTAAACTATTGACTTAAATAATTAGAATAACTATGTATAATCATACCGACTTAATAAGTAAGTTAAAATGTAATAATAGTTTCTGGAATTTTGTCAAATTAATTATTAAAAGGTACATCTCCACTGAATATATCATTTGTAATGATAATACTATTAAAAATTAAAATAATATATTAATAAACATAAAATGTGATGTTCACGTGCAATTAAGAATTTTAAATTTCACCTTAAAAATATATATACACATTAAAAACTATAAAACTTTTAAAAATATATTTTTTCTTATATATTATTTTATAAATGAAAATAAATTAATAAAATACTAATATATAATAATTTAAATTATATCACTTAGTAATTATGTAAATATATGGTTTATCTAAATATTCAAATAAATACTAATTAACTCATTATGCAGGTTGATATAATGAATTAAATAAATAAATAACAATAAAAAATCTAAAAACAAAATATTTAACCATAAAAAACCAATTATTCAGACTCTCAACGAAGCCGCCCCCTTTTCTCTGTAACAGTAAACCCTCGCCGGTCTCTTCCATATTGAAGCCGTCCGCCTTCCTCGGCGGCCTTCGGGCTTAGCCGGCGGTTGCTGGCTCCCAATTGCTTGGTTCTCGCCCTTTTTTCTCTGCTCCGTCATCCGATTCCATGGCGAGGGTCCTCGTCTGTTGCGGCAAGATCTCGTCTTTCCGACGCCGGTCCGTCAATTCAGATGGGGAGGTTCTCGGTTGTGTGGTGGTGGAGTCGTTGTGCGGTTCTTGGGGCGGGACTCCGCTCATTTGCACGGCGACTGGTTCGCCTAGCGACAGAGGCGGGGTTGATACTATCGGCCTTTTATCCTTGTCCTCATTTTCCATGTCGATCGAGATCGTCGCGACGATTCTTTTGTTGGAACCCACGAGGATCTCGATATGCACAAATCACAGACAAACAATCAACAT